GTATAAGTGTTGATTTTTAAACTTTTTTAAAAATCTAATGTTTAATTTGGAATTAAAGTATTAGAGTGTAAGACTTTTCAAATTCCAAAACTTGAGGGCAAGAATTGAAACTATTCCAAGTCTCTTCAATTTTGTAACTTATGAGTTTTAATGGTTCATAAAAATGAAGACTCTTCATTTTATGAAACCTCTTTAGTTCTTTAAACACAAATTAAAGAAGTGACCTTTGGTTATCCATAACTTGAGGACAAGTTATGGACACCATCAATACAATTAAGATCAAGAATTAAACACACATGGTGGTTACACATAATTCCTATGATCTTCTAAAAACTCATAAGAACACAAATTCATGTCAAGCAATTTCAAGAAATCATATAAACATATATAATACTTTGAAATTGTTAAAAGTCATGTAAAATGGATTAACATAATCATTATCATTTTGAAAAACAGATTTTACAAGTCCAAAACAGATTGGGATGATGATTCTAATCCATTTCCAGCAACAAAAACTCGAAAAATCTGCCCAGCTCGATCCTACTCGCCGAGTGTATTATCCTACTCGGCGAGTAGGATGAATTTGTTCATGGACTCGGCGAGTCCTCCCCATGGACTCGGCGAGTACAGTCGTCAGAATGCAGAATTTTCAATTTTCAAGCAAATTTGCATCAAGTATACAGAAAACAATCCTAGGCTCTGATACCACTGATGGGTTTTGAGCATTCTAACACTTCCTAAGTGTACATGCAACCCTAATAACCTTGAATCTATGTTTTCTCTATATACATGCAAATTTCTTTTTCAAGGTTATTTTCCAAGTATTGCAATGCCATGCAACCCAAATGGACCATGCCGGGTCGGATCAAGTACATACCAAATAAAGTTATGGACTTAGACACTATATCCAACAGACGCTAGATAGAATTACTCAAGGACTACGACTGTGAGATACTTTACCACCCCGGTAAAGCAAATGGTGTTGCTGATGCTCTCAGTCGAAAAGTCAATCTTGAGAGAAAAAGGCAAAGAGCATTGAGAATAGAAGTTGTCTCGATGATTATGGAAAGTATCAGGACAGCTCAAGAAGAAGCTTCAGAGAAGAATAACCGAAAGGAAGAACGTTTAGGCAAAACGTTAGTGTTCGGTACAAACAGTCAAGGATTGAAGGTATTCCAAGATCGGATTTGGCTACCTAAGACTGGAGGAGTAAGAGAACTTCTGATGGAAGAAGTGCACAATACCATGTACTCAATTCATTTCGATAGCACAAAAATGTATAGGGACCTAAAACCCTACTACTGGTGGCCGACGATGAAACTCGATGTTGCGAAGTATGTGGTCGAGTGTGTGACATGTGTAAGTGTTAAGGCACAACATCAGAAACTGTATGGGAGTTTAGAACCTTTACATGTATCCATGGGTAAATGGAAATACATCACCATGGATTTTGTGACTAAACTTCCCAGGACGAAGAACGGACACGACATGATTTGGGTGGTCGTGGACCGTTTCACTAAGAGTACACACTTCATAGCAACCAACGAGAGGTGGTCTATAGATAAGCTTGCAAATGCTTACGTGAAGGAAGTGGTAAGACTTCATGGTGTTCCTCTGACGATTGTATCGGATCGTGATAGTCGTTTCACGTCAAGGTTTTGGAGAAGTCTACAAGAGGAATTGGGTACGAAATTGTGTTTAAGTACAGCTTACCATCCGCAGACTGATGGTCAGAGCGAAAGAACAATTCAAACACTGGAAGATATGCTGAGAGCATGTACCCTCGAGTTCCAAGGGAACTAGGACGAGCACTTACCTCTGGTAGAATTTTCCTACAACAATAGTTTCCACTCGAGCATCAAGATGGCACCTTATCAAGCTTTGTATGGACAGAAGTGTCGTACGCCGTCTTGTTGGATTGAGGCTGGAGAAAAGCAGTTTATGGGCCCCGAGATAGTCCATGAGATTGCTGAGAAGCTGAAGGTAATTAAGGAAAGAATGTTAGCAGCTCAGGATCGTCAGAAGAGCTATGCTGACAAGAAAAGACGACCGATGACCTTCGAAGTTGGGGATTCGGTTTTGCTGAAAGTCTCACCGTGGAAGGGACTTATAAGATTCGAGAAACGAGGAAAGTTGAGTCCAAGGTTTATTGGACCGTTTAAAGTTCTTCAGAGGGTTGGGAACCAAGCTTACAAGCTCGAATTACCAAAAGAACTAGATGGTATTCATAACACCTTCCATGTGTGTTATTTCAGGAAGTTCACGGGAGAAGTTCCCGACATAATTCCAATCTCAGAGTTAAGAATATATGAGAATAAGAGGCCGGTCGAAGAGCCCGAGACAATTATTGACCGTAAGACTAAGAAGTTACGACGCAAGATAGTCGACTTAGTGCTAGTCCGATGCAAACATTCAAATGGGCCGAATCTCACCTGGGAAACAGAGAGTGACATGATGAGTCGCTATCCGTATCTGTTTGCTGATGCATGATTCCGATACGGAATCATCCTAAAAGGGAGAGAATTGTAACACCCGTGTTTCAAGGCTAAGCAGTAGTAGATGATGTAATAGTCTAGGTCAACTATTGTAACTCTTTTTAAAGTAATAAAGATGAAATATTTGAGTATTATGTGCGTTTATGGGCTTATTACGTATTTATAATTTATAAATATATAATAAATAAAGAATAAAAATAAGCGTCAAAATTAAAGTGTGATATAAACCCGATATCTTTACATAAGGTTGTATAGGTCGAAACAAGGATTTTGGGGATATAAAGAATGCCGAAATCCGAGTTATAATGAAGAAGTTATGACCCGTCGAAGTTTCGCGACGGAACCGGCACAACACTGGGAAGCGTAAATAGTGAATTTACGATAGAACAACTTTTACCCTTAGCAATCTAAACGAAAGTCGTAGAATATGTTATACCTAGAGCGTCCATAAAAAGAACGACCAAATCTGACTTCGTATGAGGAAGTTATGATTTTTTGAAGTTTCGGCTAAGCAGTGTACAGCCCGAAGTTCGAATATTAGATCGAGCGGTTTTTAGCCGACACAACCTAAACGAGAATCGAAGATCTCGTTAATACTAGCATAACGATAAAAAGACAGACGAAAACAGATGTCGGATGAAGAAGTTATGAATTTTTAACGGACCAATCCTGTCCCGGCCTATTAATAATATAACTTTTAAAATAAAGTCAAAATTAGCCCGGAATCTAAATGAAAGTTGTAGAGTACGTTCCCGTCTAGGTGTAGATATAAAGAACGTCAAAAACGGAGCTCATATGCGAAAGTTATGAATTTTTGAAGCCGGGAAGCAAAATTGCGAATCTGCGAGAAGGGTGATGACGTGGCCGCATCTGAGTCATTGCTTGTTGCCCAAGGCCTCACTCCGGATCTTGACACGTCGCATCTTGGACACCCAACGTTCGCATCAGACGCCTAGTGTTGTCCCTACGCCTCACGTACGAGGTTCGGAACACCTCGCGTTCTCTTCTGTGGACCAAAGGATGCCACGTCGCCCCATCCGAAGCGCGCCACCTATGACCTTATCCAAAGCTACGCCCCGCGTAGAGATTCTAAACGCCCAGCGTAGCGAGGCCTCTCGGCCTATAAAAAGGAACCGAGGGCAACCTCATTCCTTGCACCTTTCCACCTTATTTCTCTCACTAGTTTCTCTCTGCCACCCCTAAGGACTAAGCCTAGGTAAACCCCCTAGCACCCGAAGGAAGCCCCGAGACTCCTGGAGTCCCAAGAAAAAGGTTCTTTCGGTTCAGAAACGTTGCTTCAAGCGAAGTCTGGTTTTCTATAAAACCCGCTATAAGTGAGCTACGCCTACGCTATTTTTAATATAGCTTTTAGTTAATTATAGTAATGTTATTAGGAACTTATAATAAGTACTTGGGCTATTATTATAGGTTATATAAGTATTTTTTGACGCTTATATAATAGTAATAATAGCTAGACTATTAATTAGTCTCGGTAAATATTAGACTAAACCCTAGTGGTAATGATACTAGGTTTTGCCGAAGGAAATTGTTTCAAGAGTAACGAAGCGCTGTCTAAGTACCGAGTCATCACCTTACAAAGTGAGTGCATAGTTACTTTCATCTTACACATAGATATGAAGTATTATATAAATTACATGCTAAGTGTGCATATTATCTGAATACTTGCTGTCTATGCTGGATGAATGATTTTATACATGTTTTAAATGATTTAAATTGTATAAGTATTTTATATCTACAAAAATGTTGGGGTAAAACATGGGTAGATGTACTAAGACGATGTGTGATAAAATGATGAGAGGCCTCGATGTTGTTGTTGTTGATTCTTTCATCTAGCGGAGTATGGATGACGACCAGGGACTCTTCTAGACTTTCCAGTGGAACGCTAGCAGGCTCGCAACATGTATGTGTTTGTGAACGATGTGTTCACCGGTGTACTCCATCCCCCACATGGTTGCCTTAAGGACATTTATTGCTGAGGAATCCCCTTAACAGTAGTGCCCATCTCGATGATGATCCTTAGGCTAGGTCCCTTATGATAGGTGTTTAGGGACGTAAAGTGAGGATAACGGGAACCGGTAATCCGGTTATTGTTGGTTGATGAAATTAAATAACTTATTTATTATGGGTTGAAAACCCTATGTGCTCACCAGGCTCCCAAGCCTAACCCACTCAGTTTCATGTATTACAGGTAGTGGCGCTAGAGCATAGATGTGATGTTTTGGATGAGGGATTACGGATATAGGCCTGTAGATATGAAATAATGTAGTAAGGCTTATATTATACTGTTTAGGCTTTTGATCTGTATCGAACATGACATCCCGAGTCTTTTTAATGAAATACATTTCTACAAAAATGCTTTGATAAATCTTTATCATATTTTTATTTTGGGAACAAATTCCGCAACACTTTTATGTAAAATATTACTCTGATTTTCAAACAAGCATAAACAAAATCGGTCTTTTCTGACCGTGAAAAATGGAGATGTCACAGTACTGATGATTCATCATTCGAGTTGCTGTTGTGGTTATATAAAGGTTCCAGGGATTTATTCAAGTCCATTGACGGGGAATTGTTTTGGGATTTTGGTAGGGATGATACATTCCTATCTGGCCTGCTCGGGGAAGAATGCTCAACTATTCTTCGTGGAGTGATTGAGGATGATAATGAAAGTGAACGATCAACTTTCCTTCTTTTAACCAGTGAGTCGCCAATTTCAAAGTGTGGTACATCTTCGGAGCGGCTCGAATTAACTCTTATCGGGGTGGAGCAGGGATAGGCCCAAACTTTGCATTTCGGTGGGGACCCGTGATTAGGTGAAGCAACGAGTGTCATATCCATGGAGGCGTCACACGCCATGATTGGCGCATGTGAATTAGGGTTCTTGTCATCCATAATGGTATGTCCATCAACAGGCCCTGTTACAGGTACTACAGGTACTTCATTTTCAGATTGCATTATTTCTCCTTCTTCTAAGTCCTCCACCTGATTATTTACCCATGTTTCCGACACTCCCTCCTCATCAGAACCCTCATCCGATCCTAATTCTGATGAATCGTTGTCGTCTTGTTCTTCATTCTGATCTTCATCATGTTGGTCTTGAGGCGCGGGTATGTGATAAAAGGGGTGCCAATTAAAATCATATTCAATGACACCCACCTTATACGTCTTATTGTTAGAAGGAGCATGTTACGACTTCGTTGATTCTAGTGAGACAACAAGTGAGTATGCATGTTGTACCATAAGAAATATCCATGTTGCCCCAGTTATCCCCATCTACTTGCAGAGTTGTCCCAAACCAATTAGTTATCGCTTTATAATTCTCTTCTGCATGTAATGATATCGGAACTCCGGTTACTTTGACCCATGCGATTCTCTCTACGGATGGTTCATCGAATACACCCATTTGAACCACCTATTCCAGTTGTTATCATTACTGAGAAAGTTCTTAGCATCCGCCGGTATATCAAATCTAAGCACCACACGCATTCCACCCGCATAGAAGATTGAGCAATTAAGATCAGCTTTGAGAAGTTTTGGAAGTTCCGTGAGATGCTTGAGACTAAGGACTTCACCAACCATAGCAGAATGATTCCAACCCACCATCGTCGGAACTTGTTTCAGTTCGATGACCTTCGCATCAATGATATTATCGCTATCAGCAGATTTCCTTTTTCCCACCATCTCTGCATATGATTTGAAATGTTGACGATCTTCCAAGTAGCGGGAACAGAAGTTGTGTGGGGTGGCGACCGTCCAACTTCCAATCACCATCTTTCATTGTAACCGACTTACTTGTTGCTCGTTTCTCATACATTGAAATGTTCACCTGTAGGATACAGTGTCCGCATTTAAGCCCCGCATCTTCCTCTCTAAGTGCTAAAACATGCACAACGTTGATAAACTTAACGAAACCAAAGTACAGTCCACCCCTGTCTTTCCTTCCGGTGAGATAGATATCAACGATTTTGCCAAACGACTTGAAGAAGTCGTTGATGGTGACTCTACTGGTGCCTACCGGAATGTTTGAAACGTAGAAAGGAGATATCACCTTGGTATGGCTGTTGCTGGATTTCTTTCGCCGGACTTCTGTCCAGCCAACCTCCTTCGCCACGTGACCGTCTAAGTAGTTTGTTGATTTTAGCATTTAATTTATTAAAATTTGTAGAGTAAAAAATGTCTTTAGCTTTGAGATAGTAGCGTCGTAAAAACAAGGGAACAACTTTATAAATAATGTTGTAATTAACCAGCCTTTTTTCTTTGAAATTTTTTCGTTTTCCCTACCAAAAGTAAACTTGTAGTTTGGGTCTTTTCTTCTCTCAAAGTTCTTTAATTTCCTTCCCTTTTTTTATTGATCTTTTAAGCATAAATGTATATGCTTAATGGATATTGAGGTAATGTAGTAGAGTCCACTTATATGTTATGTGTCGTCCATCCTAAAAATGGGTTATGCATGTGATTGGAAACATTACGTGACCGGTAGAGGTATCATTAAAAACTGAACCACAACTACATTCATTGAAATAACCGAAACATTACTGAAAATGGTGGTGCGATTTCTATTTTTGATTACCCAAATATATATGGTTCGGTTATGGTTTTCAATCAAAACCGAACCAATAATATTAATAAATGTTTTTAATATAATATAATATTCTAGATATGGTATGTAATTATATTTGGAATTAAAAAATGGATAATGACTTAAAAGGGTAATATATTTTTCGATTTGTACACATTTGGTTACTAAGTTTTTTTTTTCGTCTACATTTACCCCTTTAACTTGTTAAATTGTACGCATCTAGTCCTTATGACCGGTTACTCCAGGTTACCCGGGAAAAATGACTTATTAGGGTAATATATTTCTCATTTTGTACACATTTAGTCCTTAATAGTCCTTAATAATTTTTTTGTTTCAAAATAAGTCATTTTTTGTTTTTGTACAAATTCAGTATTTATGAATGATTTATTTAGGGTTTCTCTCACGACATCTAACATGGGATTATCATTGATGATAGGTTCGGTTCTCTTTGGGTGCCCGCAGTGGCACCGAAAACCCCTGCTTTTTCTGTACGTAGTGTAAATTTTTCGATTTTTTTTCTACTTACCAGCAACACCTACTACCAAATCATGCGTCCGTCCTTGATTGATGAGGTGTTTGGGGCTGTTGATGCTTATATCCATCGGGGCCTCGACTGCTTGGTTGCATAGGTCTTGTGGTTTGACTTATGTTTTGTATTCCGAACGTCGTAACTTCTTCATACGATATCTGATTTTAACGATCTTTATATCTACGTGTTCGTTTTTTTTAATCTGCTATAACTTTCGTTAATAATACTCCCGTTAAAATATAATATGTTTTTACTTACGATTTTATAAAAAAAAAACATCCATACATGCATTCATAAAAAACGTATGGATATAAAGATCATAATTAAAAAATATATTACTTTTTAACGGGAGTAATCTAAACAAAAGTTGGAGTAGACTAAAATAAAAACGCATAGATATAAAGATTGTTAAAATCCGATATAGTATGAAAAAGTTATGACGTTCAAAACACATGACCTAAGCAACCAAGTAGTCGAGATCGCGATGGATATAAGCATCGAAAGCCTAAAACACCTCGTCAATGATTGTTCCATATAAGATGTTGTGAGAAAAACTTAAAGAAAACATTCATAAGTATTGAATGAGTACAAAAACAAAAACAAATTATTTTGCAACAAAAAAAAAATATGGACTAAATGTGTACAAAAATATTAAGGACTAAATGTGTACAAAATGAGAAATATATTAACCTATTAAGACATTTTTACCGGTTAACCTGAAATAACCGGTCATAAGGACTAAATGTGTACAGTTTAACAAGTTGAAGGGATAAATGTAAACAAAAAATAAACTCAGTGACCAAATGTGTACAAATCGAAAAATATATTACCCTTTTAAGTCATTATCTCATTAAAAAATTAAAAGATAATTATTTGGAATTAAATAGGATACCTAATCTTCTATTATATTAATAAGGTTATAAACACCGAATCGTTCATTTTTCTTAACGATGTACTTTATGTTTTTCAGTTTTTATAGCAAAGTATTTTTTTTTATCTTATTTTCAATCATTATGGTTAACATATATTAATCATTAACTAATAAAAACCGTTAACCAAAACCAATATTAACCAATACCTAATGACTATCAAAATGCATTAACCACTTATAATGGTTATGGTTCTGTTTTAACTAAAAACAGAACCAAACTGTCTCATACATATCCCCAGTTATTGGGTTATCGATAGCCAGATTACCCTCACCAATAGTCCATACACACCCCCTAGTTGTTTCAGGGGCGTATCTAGTATGGCCCAAGGTAGGTCTTAGGACCTACCTAAATTTTCAATTTCATTTACAATATATATTGTAGAAAAATTAGGAACTAATTTAGAAAAAATAAGGGACCTACCTTGAGTTTTGTTTTTAAATAAAATGTTTTAAAAGAAGAAAAAAATAAGTTAGTAGGAACAATTTGTTATTTTAAATTATGGGATTGATAACAAAAAATTAATCACTTTTAATCGGCATTCTCAAAATATCAATAAATAAATAAATTGTTGTAATAAAAAGAAGCCCACATGTTAAAGACTCTCACTCTCCGTTCACCGTTTTATCAATTGACTAATAATCAACTAGTTTTTCATTAAAAACATACTGTTTTTTTCATTTATATTTCAATCGTTTTGTTAAAATTTTTAATCGGTGGTGTCTGGTCGGTTTTAAGAAGTTGAACTAATTCGTCCAGTTTTTAAGGTACACGACCCGACCCGACCCCAGACAAGTGTTGTTGAAATTTTTTTTATTGGTTTCACTTAATTTGGGAACCATGTGGTCTTTTGGTCTAGATTTGCCACCGGCCTGATTGCCCTCACCAATAGTATTTGTTTGTGTGTTTTTCTAGCTAAACACCAAACACCCATCCTAGTTGTTTGTCTCTTTTTATATCGAACAAACCTTCACACTCGATCCCCTTTTTCCACCCCTTTTGTCTTTTGTAGGTATATATCATACGAGAAATTAAATTATCTCTTATCTTTTATGTCTACAATTATTCCTACCCACTAAAATTATGACAAATCACCATTCAATTTAATTTTATTTGATATATTCCTAATATAGTTTTAATGAGTTGGTTAAAAAAATATGGAATAATAACACTACATTTGTAGGCATAAAAAATAGAAATTAATTTAATTTCTCAATATCATATATGTTCTTAGTGATAAATGATAGTCTCTCTCTCTCTCTCTCAATATAATCATGAGAATGGATTGAACTTGTTCCTACCTTCTTAGTCCACGCACATTACGAATTATAATTTCTTTTTGCTAACCCAACACCAAATCGGCAAACCATAAGCAGTTGGACATTCGAGTGCTTCTAACTAGCAACATAAGTGCGATTAACATAAAAGGTTCCACAAGAATAACCGAATATTAAACCAAAAAAAAGGAGTTCATTTGGAGATTATTACGTGAACTAGAAATGGAAAGACCGAATATTCTTCATTACTGAATCTAATTACATCCATTTTCTATATATACAGCAACAGGAAATAGAATAACTTGTATTGTAAAATTACTAATCTGCCCTTCTCATTCTCTAATATTCCCCCTCAAGATGTATCTGAAGAATAAATATTCTTGAGAAACATCTTGGATATAAAAGGTATAATCTTCGTAAAAGGCAACGGTTTTGTGAACATATCAACTAGTTGAAAAGCTGATCGAATTGGCATGAGTTTAATAGATTTGTCAAGCACTTTCTCACGAACGAAATGGCAATCTATCTCGATATGCTTAGTACGTTCGTGAAACGTGGGATTAGTTGCAATCTTGACAGCAACATCATTATCACAAAACATCAATACAGGGGCATTATGGGAAATATTGAAGTCTTTTAGCAACTGTTTTAGCCATATCAATTCACACGAAGTAGATGCCATAGCCCTGTACTCTGCTTCTGCAGAGGAACGAGAAACAGTGGGTTGTTTCTTGGATCGCCATGAGATCAATGAATCTCCTAAGAATACACAAAACCCAGATATGGATCTTTTTGTGTCTAAACATCGACCCCAATCTGAATCACAAAAAGCCTTCAATTGAAAATTTGATTGTTTGGAAAATAAAACACCTTGACCAGGACTTTGTTTTAGATAGCGTAGAAGATGTTTAGCTGCATTCATGTGAATATCTCTTGGATTCGACATAAACTGGGACAATTGTTGTACTGCAAAAGCAATATCTGGACGAGTTATGTTGAGATAAATGAGTCTTCCAATTAGACGTCTGTAAGAAGTAGGATCATCCAAAATAATGTCATCAAATTCATTCAAAGTTTTCCTTGGATCCATTGGAGTATTAACTGGTTTGGAACCCAATAATCCAGCATCATCAATTAGCTGTAATGTATAATTTCTTTGAGACAAAAAAAATTCCTTTAGATGATTTTGCTACTTCCAATTAGCTGTAATGTATAATTTCTTTGAGACAAAAAAAATTCCTTTAGATGATTTTGCTACTTCCAATCCCAAAAAGTAACCCAAATTGCCTAAGTCCTTGAGTTTAAAAACATGACTTAACTGTAACTTGAGCTTGGCAATTTCAATAGAAGACGAACCCATGATGATAATGTCATCAACATACACCAACAAAGCAACGTAATTCTCATTTTGACCTTTGTGAAATAGTGAATAATCTGATTTGGATTGAGTAAAACCCATTGAAAGCATGAAATGAGAAAACTTCTCAAACCATTGTCGTGAAGACTGTTTCAATCCATAGATAGATTTGTGAAGTTTACACACAAGCTTAGACTTTGAACTTGTTGGCAATTGTTCCCCCTGAAGATGAATACCAGGTGGAATATCCATGTAGACTTCCTCATGCAATGTGCCATTAAGAAATGCATTATTAATGTCCAGTTGGACTAAATCCCATGACTTTGCGGCAGCTATAGCAAGAAGCATCTTTATAGTGACAAGCTTGGCCACCGGTGAATAAGTATCAAAAAAATCAACCCCTTCTTGCTGTGTAAATCCCTTAGCCAGCAAACGAGCTTTATGTCTTTCCACTTGACCGTTTGATCCACATT